AAAAAAATAAAAAAAAAAAAAACAAAAAAAAAACAAGAAAAACACAAAAAAAAGAAAAAAAAGCACAAGCACACAACAAGCAACACAAACACAAACAGCAGCAAAGGCCACACACAAGCACAAACACAAAACAAGCACACACAGCCAAACACACACAGGCACAGCAACACACACACAACACAGATGACACAGCAACACAGCTTGGCTAGCACCCTTGAGGCTAAACGTGTCCGCTAGCTCGGATGGCAAACCCTGCATGGCGAATCTCTCGCCGAAAGAAAGGAAACGGCGATACTTGGGTGACTGCGCCGCCTCGACCCAGAGAGTGCCGTTGCGGGTCGTCAAGCACGGGCAGACGCCGTCAAAGCGCCCCTCTAGTTTGCGCACTTTGCCAGACGACCTCGACAGATCATAGAACCACACCTTGCCACGATCGCCTTTGCCTTCCTTGCAGCGGCTCCGACCCAACATGCGGTACGCCGCCAAATTTCCCACCTGGGTGCAGCCGCAAAACAAGTGCTGATGAGAGGGGGAATGATAACAACGCAAGCCTCGGCCCCCATGTCCGATAGGAATGCACCAACTATACACCAACACCGATCCTGGCCCAGGATCACCCTGGGCCCAGGATCGGCGCAGGGGCGAGCGGGGATAAGGGTGGAGGCGGTGGAGGACGAAAACGAAGAGCAGCAGCAGGGGCAGCAAGCAAGACCAGGAGGAAGGGAGGGAGACACGAGGGGGAGCGGATCCGTGGATTGAGTGAGGGAGCGTCGATGACAAGGACCACGAGGTTGCGATCGTTGGGGTTGGAAGGGCTATTTTGCCGCAGCCCGTTCGGGCAGAAGCTTCATGTCCGACTGCGGCAAGAGGAACCGGATGCGCCGAAGGGAGCGCAATGGTGGGTAGTTGCAGCGGGCCAAGAGGCAGAGGATTGAGAAACGCGTTGGAAAAGGCGAAAGGCAAGGAAGGACAAGGAGGATGATGAAGGTTGGGGTGGATAGCGTGCTCCCGCGGTCCTAAACCCCTCGCCCTCGCGGATGGGCCCAGCTCGCGCCCCGAAGCATTCCGCTGCGAAATGTGCGCGACATCTCTGATCTTATCCGCCAGACCCCCAGGAATATCATATATATAATATTGTTATACGTACATATATATGTGTGTATATGTGCACATTCATTCGTCATGAGGCTCTCATGCCTCTCGCGGGATAGATGCATACACATATGTATATATATATATATATATACACAGTGTATGTGTTATTATACAGATATGTTGTATAATGTGCATACGCGTCCCCTCTTATTCAATCAACTCGGACACTTGCCCTCGCGCCTGCTTTTCGGTCAGATCAGCTTCCTTGGAGCCGAGGTCGGGATCGAGCAACTCGCGGGCATCGATCATCTGCACTGTGATCTCCGCGGGTGATATAGACGGGATAGGGCGCGAAAACGAGGCCACGCGCCTCCCGCATATATAGATCCTCCGCCAACAGAGGGGCCGCGGCCCAAGTAGGACGAGGAGGGGGAGGAGGGACAGGACGATGAGGATGAATACGATGAGAAGGTGAGGGCGAGGAGGAAAAATGCGAGGATGAGGAGGAAGAGGAGGAGGAGGAGGCAGAAGAGGAGCACGATAAGGAAGACTCAAATTTCTATATGCGGGAATCCTTGGCCTGGAGTGGGGCAGCCCGCGCCAGACGCTGTCCACCTCCCAGAACCAGAACTTGAACCCAGGGACCTCGGCGTTCAACTTTTTGATGATGCCGTCCATTGGGCTGGTGCCAGTGTTCGACCCGTTCTCGATCCCTTTGACATTCTCGATCAATGCGATTTTCAATTTCTTAGAGGGCCTAGCTGCTTGATCTTTCACATGTGCAATCGTGCCCTTGAAGGGCTTCGAGCGCTTGTCGTTCCACGAGCCGCCTGGAGGCGAGCGTGGATCTCGATAGAAAGGACAGGAGGACGAGAGAACTGGATCGGGAGAGCGAGAGGGACGAGCAAGGAGCCGAGGGAGAGGGGAGAGTGAGGGGGAGCTAGAGGGGAGGGAGGGGGACGAGAGAGCGAGTGAAAGTGAGTGAGCGCGGGGGAGAGATAAGAACGTTAGGGTATAGAGAGGGAGGGGAATGGGAAAAAGAAAAGCGAGAGAAAACGATAGACCCTCTCGGGCTACGGAGTGCGTGGGTCTGCTTACTGCATTGCCAGTCGGCCTGAGCCGCATTGACTCCATGGCGGGCGCGGGGGCCCAGCAACGATGATCTCGACGTCGGGGATGGTGCTCTTGTCGATGCTGCAGATGTCCCCCTTGTCCCCGATGAAAAACTTGCCCCCCTCGCAGTAATTCTCGTGCACGTGCCGGACGGCGCTCTCTAGGCTGGTTCGGAGTCGAATGAATAGCTCACCACTTTGGCCCCCAGCTGAGAGAGCGCCGCAGAGGCTGTCTCGACCCCGCAGCAAAGAGAGAGAACAGTAACCTTGCGATCTGCCAATCTAGCTGCCATGGGTTGCGCCGCCTCCAACCATGTATCAGCAATCACTGAAACACTGCGTTTTTTTTTTTTTACTGTGCCCTGGCATGGTACGGGGACGAATGAAGTCTCAGCTTGAACCTTCACTGAGGCTGGTCCGAAACCGTCGGCTGGGGGTTCAATCGGTGACAAAAGCATGTGAGATGCAAGGGTTGTACTTCGAATTGCTTAGACACTATGTTGCGTGCGTGTCCAGTTCCCAATTCGCTTAGACACTATTGCGTGACTTACTCAAACACTATTGCTTAGACGCGATTGTTTAGACATTATTGCCTAGGTACTCGGCTGGGCGCCCCTGAATCCCATCGTTCATTCCCATCGTCGCCCCCCCTCCCGTACCCCGCGCATGGGCTCTTTAGGGTATTATGCCGCAGCGGTGTCATTTACGTTTCTGGGTCTGCTGGGGCTCCGTCGTGGCCCTGGCTGGGTCTCCTTTGGGAGCTCTGCCCTCAGCGCGCCCTCTCCCGAGGTGCGCTCCGAGAAACCGGAAGAGACGGAGCGCAGAGGAATGACATAGGGAGGAGCGAAGGAGGATAGAGGGGAGGGGGGAGGGGGTGCACAGTTGGGTAGAAAAAATGAGGGTAGCAGAGGCGGCCCATTGAAGTTGGACTGAGCTCCTCTAGCCCCCTCGCGGGGCTGTCGGGCTGCTTCCGCGGCCAGCTACTGGGCGGCGGCCAAGTCCGACGCCCCATGCAGAGGCGAGTCGCACATCCGATGCCCAGAGAGATCTGATTTGGCGGCAGGAAGGGGAAGAATGAGCAGGAGAAGGAAGAGGGCGAATTGAGTGGTAATTAGGGAAGAAGAGGATGAGGATAGTGTTTCAGATGAGGAGTGGGCCCTTCGTGACACGAGTATGTGATTCACTCGGCTGCGTGCTCAAGTGCTAGCAGCGTGCCACTGCGCCTGAGTCGCAATGGTATTTCTCCTCCTGCTCCTCCTCCTTCCACTGGCCTTCGTCGCTGTCGTCGTTGCATCGTGCTACTCCTCATCCATCTCCTCCTCATCGTCATCCTCCCCGCAGGCCCCATCCCATCACAGGCATTGCCAATGCCCTTGACACGGATATCAAGAGAACGCAAATGACGAATTGTTCTCCACGTACGGGGGAATGCGAAGGCGTGCAAAAATCGCCTTGTCCCAGCGTCTCCTATGAGCAGCCTGGGCAATGCACTTAATGATACGATTTAAAGATTCGTCCAGAAAGCAGGAATGGTATCTAGGATTCCCAGAAACTGGTATCTTTAATGTCATGTGTACTGCTTGGTGGATTTTAGGAATCACTTTTGCATTGGCCAATCTGAGTAGATTGACGTACCTGAGAATCAATTCGACTAGTTGTCGGCATTGCAGCCTCGGGACGATCCTGGGAGCTGTTTTCATGATGCACATGTACTCACATAAAGTCTCCCCCGCCGCGAGAAACACGTCACCCTGCCTCACTTGGCCGCTGAACCCCCCGAGAACATCCACTGCCCAGGGCAATAGGGTTCCAGTTTCTGCTGCTTTCGCTTTGAACGTTTGCCTCTCTTGGCTGCCTAACATGGTTTGCGTTAGCACGGCCAGCCGATCGCACACCTTGATACCTTGTCGCTGATGCCACCCCACCATATCATTGTACACCAACTTGCAGCACTGATCTATCCTAACCTGCATCGGCCCCACAACACCCCATACATTGCTGCCTATGAGTAGCCAGATCACCTGCGCAATGAATGACTGAATGACACCCAAATGGGGGCAGTGCAACGTGTCGATCATGAGGTGTTCTTGGGGCTCGAGGCCCGTGGACGGGCAGAATATTGGGTTTCTCTTTAAACAACCAGTTAACCTCCTGTGTAAATGATCGCGCCTGTCCCTCCAGAAAACAACTGAAAATGGCACTGGCGTGTCAATGAAACGAGCGATGTCAGGAAGCTCTGCGCTGGGATCGAGCCTGTCGTGGGCCCGTAGGTGCAGCGACGGCGCATCGTTTGCCAATATCATGCCCTCTCGCAGTCTGGCGTCGGCTCGCTTGTCCCAATGAAACCCGCCCTCTCCTAGTATCTTCAAACGGACGGTGTCGTCAAAAATCAACACCTCTATTTCGCACTGTGCACAATCAACATCATATGCAACAGCATTCCCCCAAGCGCGCCCTGCAACTGAGACTCTTGCCATATCGCAACCGCTTGGCCCGCGTAGGTGCCACCGCGGGCGCGCCATCCACGTTCCCTCTCCACATCGCCCCCCTGCCCCCCTCCCCCCCACCATCCCCCTCTCGGTTTTCCGCGCGCCCCCCGTCTTCAGGTCTGCCCCTCGTTGTCGCCCCGCCCTCCTTTGCTTTTCGTTGAGCGGGGCAGGGGGGAGGTGGCGCGTCGGACGAGGGCGGGGCGATCAGCGAGAAGGAGGAGAGAGGAGGAGCAGGGGAGATGGGATACCAAACATATTGGACGCATCTTATCCCTCCCCAAGCTGCCCTGCCCCCCCCCCCCCTCCCCTCTTGTGTTCGGGCGGGTGATTTCATCAGATGCATAGTATAGGTTGGGCTTCTGACACGCGCACCAAATGCATGGCTTGTTAAATGACTGCCAGTTCTGAATTCCGAACGTGCTGCAGTGTTCCATCCAATCCCCCTTGATTTCTGTTGGAACAAATCGTGCTGGGAGACGCTTTGGAAGCGATGCGAACGGGTCTCCTGGAGCAGACTCGGATCCGTCCCAACGTTTGTTTGGTCGTATTCCCCGAATCCCTGCTTCCAACCACCATCTGAGAAATTGCATAATGGGGAACATAGTGCACCACCCCTTGCAGCCGCATTTGCATTGTTCCCTTTTTGATATACAACATATTGCATGCCGTTTTCCAGACGCGAGATTGTACGCAGTGAAATTTATCAAGCTGTCTTGTTTGCCTACTTGCGTGGCTCTTGTGTACCTCACCCCATCGCAGTAAAGTGCGATGGGAAACGCTGGCCTCGTATCCCCATGGAATGCGTCGATGGCGGTGGTCTTCAAATGCCTTTTGCCAGACAGCAGCCCTGGCAGTGCGGATGATATGGCCTTCGTCTAATCCATCGAGCTCGAGCTCACTAGCCTCGCGATGGCAGACCGAAAACGCTCTTGATGGGCGCGGAGGGGCGGCGAAGGAAGTAAACGGAGAATGGGCATGGCGAGAAGCCAGGAGGGAACGGAAGGGGGCTCTGAGAGGTGATGGGGGGCAATGGGGGGCCATGTGTTTTCGGTCTGCCCTCTGCGCCATGCATTCGTGCACTGGCGCCATCAGGACCTGTTTCTCCTTTTTGGTACAGCATAACTGCGTTGCCCCCCCTCGCTCGACCACTCCTCCCCCAAGGCGACCTCTCAGTCGCTGTCGCTTCCATATCTTTTCGAGCCGAGCCAGGCGCTTCGACGAGATAATTTTATGTACGCAGAGTTTCTTACCCATTGTCCTCCCGCTTGCCCCTGATGACCATTGGAAGGGCAACTTGTCGTAGTGCAACGTTGCTGGAGATGGGGAGGGCACGGTCCAAGTGTTTCTGGAAATTGCCTGTCGACGAGGTTGGGCCCTTCGAGGGCCGAGCGGTGCCTATCCCCTTCGCCCCTGCTTTCACAGCAAGGTAAGCAATAGAGCAGATTGCTTTCGCCGACAACCGTCCTCGCGAATACAGTGTGAGAAGTTCTTGCTCAAGTAATCGACCGCGCTCCTCCTGTGATTCTATGTCCTCGCGCAGGTTCTCTCTCAACGTCGCGTTCTCCCACCGACGAGCCGAGAGCGGGTCCAGATCCCATCCACGAGAGGTCATTCTAAATTGGATTCAATATCCAGTCAATCGCCGAGCATCGCTCTGACCTTGATCCAGGATGTGCTGGAGGATTCGGACGTCAGAGGCAGAGGGCTAGCATGATTGACGAGCGAGGCATAATGGTAGGTCCGAGAGGAGGAAAATGATCACGGGAACGAGCCAAAACCAAGCGAGCAAGCCTGGCACACTGGGTTTGGGGCAGGGGTTAGATTGGAGAGGGTGCAGCTCGGAGGGCTGCGATTCAGGGTGGGGAGGGGCTCGCTGCTGCATTTTGCCACCCCGAAAGCGCATGCCAAATTCACCGCGCATTCGCCGGATATTCACCGGAATTTCACCGGATATTCACCACCCTGTTTGTGTTTAAAACAATATGTAATCTGAAATTCACCGCAAAATCATTGGATATTCACTGGATTTTCACCGGATATTCACCGCCCCCGTTCGCGAGCACTCACCGCCTCTCCTCCGAGGCATGTCAACTAGGCAGAGGCCGTAAATTGCCCATATCAGCCGCGAAAGCGGTCTCTCACTGAAAAAACAACCGAGCTCTCCAGGCCTTAAACTTAGAGTTGCAAGCTGCGCGCGCCGAATCTTCCACTCGAGCGCTGCCGTCGCGACAGAGAAGAAATTGCCAGGAGAGATACTTGCCCGAACATCGTTCGCCTGAGCTCGGAACCCAGGTCGATCTAGGATTCAAATTAAGGCAATCAGCGTGACCCAGCCCAGGTCGAAACAGAAATGCAGGGAGCGCATCGGGCTCGATGCATGAGTTCCCCCTTTCAAAAGCTGTTGCTTCTTTGCCACCCCCCCCCCCCCCTGGCAGCCTGCAACTGGAACGAAACACGTGAAAGAGATCGATCGCACATAAGACAATAGAGTAACTACACAGTACGCAAAAAAAAAACTGCAGATCGGCCACTCGCGCAATGTTCGCGTCAGTATCCCGTGCCCTACCTCTTCTCATCTCCTCACATTTTCCCCCCGTGCCTTATCCCCCCCATTTTCTCCCCTATCCCCCCTATATGTCATGATGGGCCAATCCCTTCCCATATCGACTTGACACGCTGCTCTGCTCAGGCCTGGCATTTCTCTGTCATATCCAAAAATGCTCGCAATTTCCTACACTTTTCCATGAGCTCGTCGATCTTGGGCCTCTGGGCGGCGATCGCGCCGAAAGCCATCGACATCTCGG